TACTTTTACGTGCGCTCTGACCCCGACTTTATCGTTTCACACATAAACCCCGTGTTCCATCGGCACGAACAAAAAACACGTACGTGTGTGTATGTGTGTGTGTTCAGAATCCTATGGGTCGAAATCTTGTTAGTTCTTGTCCCCGAGCGGTTAATTACCTACTACTGGCACTGGTACGTTTACATACGTACGTACGTTTCGTCTGATACATTTCGTCGTTGTATTTCTGTAGTCACGAGCAAAGCTTATCTATAATTACTTTCGTCGTTCGTTGATTCGATTCTTTGCCTTCAAATATTTGCTTTCACTTGCCATTTCATGTTTTCCTCTCTCTTTGCTTTTTGAATTGAATTTCGCGTCGTACACCAAACGATCCATCGATTTCATTCGAATCATTTTGCTAACGATCTACTCTGCCTCTATCTTTACGGTATATATATACACGTATATAAAATTATGTAAAAAATATGTATGAAATTTATTGGAGATTTACGTTACCTCTGTAAAGCTAACGTACGTGCTTCCGTCTGCTGATTTCAGGTCCCAGCAGAAAGAAATATCGAGAGGCCAAGCCAAACTGATCACCCGCAACTAGCCAGCGTGCACATTATGACAACTACTCCGCACCGTCTCGTAAGTCGTAAAACTTGATCGAGAGAAGCACGAGGAAAAAGGCAGACGAGAAGCAGTGACGTCACGAATTGTCGCCAAGATCAACGAACGCCTGTCCAGCTAATCCATTAACGCGTCGCATCGCGGCGATATCTGCATTCGGCAAAACTAGCATCCGAAGGGTTAATTTAGACACTGCACTCCTCTAAAGAGAGGAAACAACGTGGTTGTACGCGAGAAAGGGTGAGCACGCAATTACGTCGAAAAATTCCATTTTCTCCGCGCCCCAATTTCTCGGAGGAAGTCATTCTGTTCGTAATGAAAATTAAAAATGGTTTACCTTTTTACCGAGGCAGTTACATACCGGCCAACTGCAATCTCGTACCTACCTTTAAATCAAATTATCCTCCTTCCATTTATTACGATATTTTTCCAAGTGTATTTACTTAGTGCCCGCGTCCGCGTCTGAAACTTATTATTAATTAATAATTGACGAATCGACCGCTTCGATCGAAATTCGAACAATTCGGGACGAAGCTTGTGACAGAGCTTACGACAGCACTTGGTTGAGCACGAAGCGAAACGATGTACTTTAATTACTTTCAATTGCTTTCAGTTGTATTTCAATTTATCACGTATTTGTTGGAAATTGAAATTAATTAAGAGGAACGTGACGGTAATGCTCTCACGAGATTTCGTACCATATTCTTTGACGATGAATTTCATTTGTCCACGCAGATGACTATCCAACGAAGAAAAGTAATATATTTATTTAAGAGCCGCGTCTCTTCGTGGCTGTTGAAATTATTAAATTTCCAGCCAAATTATTAAATCTCTTGGACAATCTATATACCACGCTAATCATAATATGTCAGACATATTTAAGACTCTCGAGTCTGGATGGGTAATTAAATGCTAAGCTGAACGCATTTTACTACGTGAAATTACTACAGCTTGCGGTTATTTCCCCGTTGGAGGAACGCGCGTTCAAACAGCGCGTGGAATTATTAAAAGCCGGTGAAAACAAAAATTGAATAGGAAGAGCTGTTTTCGAGGAGATTGATAGAAATTCGATTCGCCGAGCGAACTCGACGAATGTCGAGAAGAGATACGTGCGTGGAAAGAGCCGTTTTAAATCGTAATCCTCGTAAATTCCCCGACTATTCGCCACGAATTCCGAGAATGTATCGGGTCGACGGTAGAGTATACGGAAAAGCAAGAACACTCGCTGACATCGGACGCCTCGATACGCGATCGATCGATCTGACAATCAGATGCATAGCAATAGCTATATAACCGAATAACATCTACCACGGAAAGATCATCAATTGGAAACTCCTTCAACGGAATATCTCTGCATTTTCAATTTTCTCGCGTTTTCCCTTCTCAATTTCATCACTCTCATCATTCTCATTCTAATTTGAACGTTCGGGTCGTGATTCTTTGCTCGGCACACGTTGTGCCGAGGCAAGTTGATATAAATGTAGCTTAGCGGCAAGCTTTTCAGTCTTCGGCGATCCTCTGATAAGATTTAGGTGATAAGCTTTGAAATTTCTCTCGTGTAATAGCTGTGATAGGATGAGAAGGATGAGGATGAGTGAGAGGGAGAGGGAGAGGGAGTAGGAAGGGAGGAAAAGATGGAAAAATTGATTACAGGGCTGGAAGAAGCCAGCGAGTACGGCGCGAGGAGATCGCGGGGCCCTCCTCTGAAAAAAGGGGCTCCGCGCGAGAAGGGGCACGCAAACGTACCCCTGGACCCGTCGTGGTGTTGTCCGCCGGGGGTGGCGGTGGTGGTGGGGGCGGAGGTGGGTGCAGACGCCGTGACTTGGAACGACGCGGAGGTGGCGGTCGGGGAGCTCCCTGTCTTGCCACCATCAGCTCCTCTGTCGCGGGGAGTGCAGGGGGTTGTGGCCCTGTGGTGGGGCTACCCTCCTATAAAAAGCGTCAAGGTATCTTCTTCACCCCAAAAAAAAAAAAAAAAAAAAAAAAAAAAAAAAAATAATCAACGCCTCGTCTTCGCGAATTTTTATTCGATCAATAATCTACAGTTATTTTCAATTCTTTCTCTTCGAGTCTCCCAAAAAGAAAAGAAAGAGAAAAAGATAAAATGATGATTTTAACGTTGGAATCTAATCATCGATTAGACTTTCAACGTAAATTGAAATTCTTCTCGTAATCAACTGATCAATTTTTCAACTAATGCGTTGATTGCGACAGTGAGCCAAGTAAGCATTAGTACTGACTTACAAATTGTTGTAATTACACCTATTACGTAATCACACGTGCATGTATGGAACTTAACGTCGAATACAACGCAGTGAAAGGAAATTGTAAAATGTTTAAGAGCATAATGGAGAAGATGTTACTTTAATTGCAGAACCATGGGGGCAGTGTAGTTTGGTTAATTTATACGTTTATTAAATAAACGCATCATCAACGATATCGTGCTTGAATTATACTGAAAAATATTACTATAGCATTAGTGTTATTAAGTAAAGTAAACAATTTTGTTACAAATGATGGATTTCTTTACTTACTTGTTATCAGTAGGCATTTCAATGACTGGTAGATTATTGTTCTAATAAAGACATCGCATGAAATTAACCATAAAATTCTCATTCTCATTTGAAAATTCATTCAAATTCATTCTCAATATTATTCGATTATCAAAAGTATCATATCTCATGCCAAAAAAGGATAATCGCAAACGCTTTGTCAACTTTGAGAATTATTGAATGCAACGTTATGCAAGAATATACCTTTTACGTATCTTAATAGAAATATTTCATGTTATTACTTAGCCAAAGTTAGTAGATATATGCGATACTCGATTCTTTAAATCGGACTTGTACTTTTCTAATAAAAAACGAGAACATTGGACCTACAATATATACGTACACGTATGCTGATTTAAATGCAAAAGAATCGTTTACCTAGAAGTGTTATTATTTTCCTTTGTATCCATTTCATATGCATTACACGTCGATGTACATACGTACACGTAGATGGTTGGTAACATAGATGTGCGTGTACGTACTTTGTAAAGAGATTTTCAAAAAGATTATACAAATCTGCGTGTATATATAATTGTAATTGTTACATATTTTTCATTAATGCGTTGGATAAATGGAAATTTCAATTTTAAATTTAAACACAGCTGTTGCAATGTATCGTATTGAGCAGAGCATATACGTGCCTGTATATATGTATGTATGTATGTATGTATATATGTACATGTACACATAGTACATAATGAATAAGGAAAGACGTCTAGTTGACTGTTCTCAATCTTATCTAACGTGTCAGGTTAAATGTATCGGACTTGTCTTCGCTGGCAAAGGCTTAGTACCTTATTCAACCTTTCAGTAAATTTAACCCGTTACGGACAGGCTTTGAATATAGAATTTACACTGTGTGAAAATACACTTTCCAAAATATTATTACCGTACGTATTACTTTTAACATTTACTCAACATTATATTGCAAATTATTATTTTGCTTGCTGAGACAAGCAAGTGCACTTTCTACTTTCTTACTTTATCTCGTTTAATTTAATGTTTTTTCAATTATTTTGGGTTATTGAATTTTAATTTTAACAAAATTATTCGAATATTTGTTGAAATAAATTACAAATTACTGATACACAATATCGGGATGCACGTGATGATTCTCAGATAAAGCCTACACATCTTATTCCACGTCACAGGATATCTAGGCCATATCATGGTCATTGTCTTTGTCCATGTCTGACTTATGGTAGACACGCCTGATCGTGATTACAGCACTTAGCTGGGCAAACTGTGTGATATTCGATTCCTGCAAATTACTCGATGAAACTGGTCGCCGAATTAAATTAGTCGTGAATCGTCGCAAAATTCTTTTGCGCATAAAAATACTTCAATATTATTACTAACGTGATATCGTTTGATTCGTTTTCCTTATTTTATCGTGTAGATGCGATATAAGAAGGAACAAATTATTTGCTTATTCCACTTTATTTCGATCGAGTCAAGTTTGTTTGTTTCTATCACGGATGATACTAGACGCTTCCTCGTTCAAATAAAAACGTAAAGTTTCAATTTTTATTTACTTCAGTCGATTTATTATTTAAGTAAAAACTGACGGATTGACTTAGGAATCTGTGTAGTAACAGATTTCGTTACGTTTCTCTCGTAAAAAGTTAAATAACTGTTTTTTTCTTTTCGTAAGATATAGCAATCGCTGCTAACAATTGATAATTAGCGATTAATTTAATATTTTGGTTTCGGTGATGGACAATTGATTTTGCTAATTGGGTTAAACACAGTTACACGTTATTGCCTTTCAATTAAGCAATTCGATTAATTAAAGAAGTGATTACCAATGACCTGTACTATTCTACGACAGTACTAGTAGCTCGTTTCGAAGTCAGTTAACATTACTACTACTCACACACACAACACACACACACACACACACACACACACACACGCCGCCGCTTAATTCCGGAACGCAGTTACAGCTTATTTAATGTACGAATGTATTTGGCCCGCCGTTATCATCGAAGCGCATAATTCGTTTCTATGGCTACCGTTTCGAATTATTTAGTGCAGTTTACTACAAATCAGCTTATATAGCACGTGCATTATACATGTGTATCACGTCGTGTCTATTACACGAGCATTTACATGATGATCAAACTGTCCTTGATGTGCGTGTTGTACATTGTATTTCTACAGGGATAACTTTCAGGCAAATAAGAATAAATGATAATAATTCAATTTTAGAAAGAAAAAAATCTATTTCCACAAGTTTCGTGTGTTATCGGGATGAAGGTTGAATAAAACAATTAAGCGAAAGGCGGTAGCGCCTTCCGAATGACACGATTCCATAAAAATTATTGCTACTACGGCCTACTAGTGACATTTCATGTATTTAATTAGCATGCTTAATAGCCGTAATTAGGAATGGGGAAACGTCCTCGGGGCATCAAGGCGATCAATAGATAACTCTCGAATTCTCGTTAATTGAACTTCTCAATCCTCGTGAATGTTTCAACGTCTGTTTCACGAAATTCTTTTTCTGACTGGAGTTAAATCTCGCATCTTTTTAACGGACATTCCCGTGTTCTCGTTAAAAACTCGGCAATTTTCATAGGACACGAACGTGTCTCTGGCCTGCGATTTACCCAAAAATAACGCTTCTAACGTCAAGACACGTTCCGCGTCGGGTCAACGCGTTAATCAGCCGTTAATGTTTAGGCAGTTTAGAGTAACGATCCGTATGTGTACAGAGTGGAGAGATTTTGACACGAGTTACGTCGTACGTTTGTCTCTCACTTCCTTCCTCGGAGCTGTGTCCACTCACCTTTATCCGACTGTTTTCGCGCGTGCTCGCAGACGAAACGAACATAAATTAATTTAATCCACGTCTGCGGTTGAAGCTAACAATAAATGTGTTATAAATCGGGGGAGTAAAAACGAAGACGGGGGAAACGGGGAGAAAAAGAAAGAAACAGGCGACTGATGTGGAAAGCTTGAAAGTGTAACTCTTTTTTTGGGTAACTCGCCTGAGCCTGAGCCTGATTATTGTTACACAATAATAGGTAGGCGTACAATACACGTGTACGTGCGTGTACGTGCACGTGTGTCGCACGCGTTGCGCATCAAGTCCATGTTAAAGACAAAATGGTATTTTAGGTACTGTTGGAGAGGCGATGAGGTTTAAACGTAACTCGATGTGTAATGTCGAAGGTACCGGTACCGGCTGGGGTCGAGGTAGCCGGGGCCGTGGCAGAGGTCGCGGGGGCGGCGTCAGCCTTCTCGGTTCAGGCGTCGCCCCCGCGAATTACTCCTCAGCACTGCAGGGCGTAGCACCTGACCTACGAGAAGTAGTGAACATTCTTGGCGAGAGGAACCAGGTTGGCACACTGACAGGCGTGGGACCACCACCGGGAGCCTTGGACAGCGATGGCCAAGGGGACGAAGAGGAAGGCACCTCGACGAAAAGACCACCGCGACCCCTCTACAGAAGGCTGATCAATTACGTTCGACAAGCGTGGACCGGCGTGAAATTCGCTTTAGGTATTTATTCGCCCTAGCTTCTCCTACTTCACTAGTTTGTGTATAAGCATCAAGTCAACAGATTTATCGGACAGACATCCAATTTATTCCACATTTTCAAAGTTCGCAATCTTGCAACTTTCGAAACTTTGAACGTAGCTTCAACTATCTATGTTCACCTGTGTG